CCATTAACAATTCACAATAGAGCAGTTTTTTCACTTAACAACACTACTCTTCAGGTCGCGTAGTTTTAACCGACCTGGCTGAACTCGGATAAATAGCGGAGCTTGTATTGTTGCTTTGCGTGTATTTCGTCATTTGAGCGAGTGTTCTTTTGTAGCTCGGTTGTAAAAGAATGGGCCTAAGTTAGCAGCAAAAATTAAAATTACACATAATATTGTTTACAGTATTGGTTAATCATTCATATCAACCTTTAAGATTAAACAAAAAAATTCAGGCCTTTAAATAAAAGAATTAACGTATTGTATAAAGAACTTTTGTAAAATATGTAAATATCTTTGAGATTGATTAAATTCATATATTTCTTTTTTGTGTGAAAAAAACAAAGGCAGACATTTTATGCATTACAATAAAAAATTTCCAAATTCGATTAAATTTGCATACACTCACCCTTTGTTACCAATACACTTTCACTTTGCAAATTGCCTATCACCAATTTTTCTTTCAAGACGATAGGTAATTTCTCGTTAATTTCAACAGCTAATCGGTCATAGCTTTGGAAAGTGAGTTTTTGTTTGCAGAAAATTGTCTGCTTAATAAAATATAAAAATAAATAAAGAAATCATATGCGTGTAAGCAAAGTGAAAGCAGTGCTTTGAATGTGTGAACGCAAATTAAGCGAAGAAATTTTAATGTTCAATTTGGTTGTATTTTCAAAATATTTTTTCCTACCAAAAGCTTCATCAAACCAACCATGCTACCAACGAAGAACGAAGCTAGACGGTGGACCTGAACCAATTTTAAATCGAAGGTCATAGCACATCATATTTTTTTGCTAACTTGGGTTAACTATGTTATGAATAACTTGTAAAAATTTTATAGCCCATAACTTATCGAGCCGTTTTTGAAAAAACTCATTTTGAATGAAAATTATTCCTTTTCTTTTAAAACTTTCACGCACCCGCTCTAGATGACAAATTGATACCTTACAGTTTATATTTATTTTGTAATGTAACTTGTACGATTTATACACAATCAAGTTAGTATATGGTTCAAGTGTCTTAGCTTGTTTTATGCACAAAATGGCGATAAATTCAAGAAGAAGAATTCGAGAAGATTGTGCGCGCACAACATTTGTTCTTTTTAAGTTCCGAATATAAGTATTCTTTATACTTGAAATAGTTTGTGTCAAGTATATCTACAAAACAATAACATGTTTGCAAGACCAAAAGACCATGCATGCATATAGGCAAGGGTCTAGGATTCTATAGCGAGCAAGCTGTAGAGTCCCTACATTCCGACTTTAAAGCAACTGGGACAAATATAAAGTATTTGTCAAGCATCCCGAATATCCTTCTAAATTACTGAGAGCAGTACAAAATACAATGCTCAACATGTATAAGCTACTGTTTAAAAAATTTAAAGGGCTGTATGTAAAACACCATGCTGCTCTCCTATTAGTTGTCCAAAAATACATATATAATCTATATATAAATACGCCACAAGAAAATTTTACAATCCCTTTTTTGAAGGCACCGTTCGCTTGATTTCTATGAAACATACACCAATTTAAAGGATATACCTTCTTCTAATCCAGAAATGTTATCCCCGATATATAGGTGGCGTGGCATCTGACATATAGACTAAAATGTGAAAACCACAATATCTCTAAAACCAATTACGCTGGGGAACTGATGCATAGATTGTAAATACCCTACTTACGGCAAAAAATGGTAGGTACTGGAAAAGTGGGCGTGGCACTTCCTATACAAACTGAAATTCTCATATCGCTTATCTCTGGGACCGCCTATGCTAACGTCCTGAAATTTGACATATGTTGTCAATACCGTACTTACGGCGAAGAGTGGTAGATTTTGGAAAAGGGGCGTGGCATACAAACAAAAATTCTCATTTCGTTTATCGCTTATCGCTGGAACCACTGATGCTTACGAACCGAAACTTTACACAGCAACATACACATGTTGTGAATACCGTACTTACGGCAAAGAATGGCAGATTTTGGAAAAGGGGGAATGGCACCGCCCATACAAACTGAAATTCTCATATCGCTTATCTCTAGAACCACTTATTGTAAGGTTTTGGAATTTTATACACCTACATTTATACACATATAAAATCGAAAGAATCATTCAACTGGGAACCATTTTCTTCCAGATTTTAAAATCACATTGAATGGTTGTTGTTTCGTGCAAAAGCTTTTAGAAGTATAAGTGTGTTTGTCTTTCGATATTTGGCGCAGGGATTGAGAGCTATCCTAAAAAAATCATATTTATGATCAGATCTGTTTCACGTTTAGAACACATATTAGTAACATAAGATTTGGTGTAACTTTGTAGCCCAGTCGTGTGATGGAAAAATATTGGGCTTTGGCCCAGTCTTGACCAAAACCCGCGTAAAACCGCCGTTAGAGAAGTAAATATTATCTTCTGTTGTAAATCTTCAAGATACTTTCTCAACCGTTAACGATTCTGATGAAAAAAAGAAAGAGTTTATTTAGATGTGGGCAATTTAGTTTTTAACCTCCAAGAGGCTCTCAGATAAATATAATCGAAAAACTTATTTAAAGTCTGAATTGGTATATGTTTGACATATTAGTCAGCGATGAACATCTTATCTGTACATACAAATACATATGCATATTTTTTATAAATGAAAATCGAGGTTCCTTTTTCGGTCTAATTTCAAAAGCAACTGAAGAAATTTGGAGGAGACTTGATAGAATTAGCATTAATCAATCTGGTATTAACGTTCATAATTTTAAGTTTTCCTGTAAATTCGCTATAAATATGCTGGTGGACTTCAAAATGTAATTCGCATAAAGAGTTAGTATTTGTGACAGGTAAAATTCGAAATTGTATGAAAAAAGATGTCGAATTCCGACAACTGGGCGATACTAGTAAATAAAAAATCTGCTTTATACCCGGTACAGTTTGTAGAAATAAACGATATTTTTTTCAATAATAAAAATTAAGTTGTTTATAAAATATCGTGAATTTTTTAAACAAATTATGTATTACATAAAAAATTAAATAACGAGTGTTGTAGCATTAATAGTGTTTCCTTCACATTACAATTTTTGAAAAGGGCCAATGTAATGCTTAAATCCGCAGTCCAATATGTATGTATGGAAATTTTAAAAGAAAAGGAATATTGTTTATTTAAAATGAGTTTCTTCAAAAACGGCTCGACAAGTTCTGGGCTATAAAATTTTTACACATTATTTATAACATAAATAACCCAAATTAGCAATAAAAAATGATGTGCAATGACCTTCGATTTAAAGTTGGTTCAGGCCCACCGTGGCTACCAATTTTAGTCCAATTGGACCAAAGCGGCAACGCTGGGTGCTGGTTATATAATGTTCTAGACTTTTATAAAAAAGTTATACGCAATGAAAAAAAAAAACGAACAAGTAAGAAAGTCTAAGTTCGGGCGGAGCCGAACTTTAAATACCCGGCGCAAGTATTAAATATGTTTTTTCACCTTTCCGAAACCTTCCGCTAGATGGTAAGCCGGGGTGTATCAATTTTGAGTAAATTAGCGTCCTTCAATTTCGAAATATTGAAGTTTCAAGCATTTCTGAAATTTACCGTTATATGAGAAGCGGCCGTTATTTTAGTCCGATTTCTATAATTTTCAACGTTTTGCTTATATGTGGCAAGCACAATAACCACACCGAGTTTGGTACAAATTGGTTGCTGTACCAGGGCCAACAACTGTGCCAAGTTTGGAAGAAATTGGTGCAGCGGTTACCAAGATATACACATGTAACCATAAGTGGGCGTGGCTACGCCCATTTTCCAAAAATTTATAATATTCTTATTTTTCGTCGAAAAATTATTGTAAATATCAATTTTGAGCGAATAATCTCCAGTAGTTACTAAAATATCGCAGTTTTCGTATTTCTGAAAATTACCGTTATATGGGAAGTAGGCGTGGTTATTGAGCGATTTCAAAAATTTTCGGCCATTTAGTATGTTGTGCGAAGGCCAACAACTGTGCCAAGTTTGGAAGAAATTGGTGCAGCGGTTACCATGATATACACATATAACCATAAGTGGGCGTGGCTACGCCCATTTTCCAAAAATTTATAATATTCTTATTTTTCGTCTAAAACTTATTATAAATATCAAATTTGAGTGAATTATCTTTAGTAGTTACTAAAATATCGCAGTTTTCGTATTTCTGGAAATTACCGTTATATGGGAAGTGGGCGTGGTTAAAGTCCGATTTCGCCCATTTTCAATACCAACCTACCTTGGATTAACGGAAGCCTACATACCAAATTTCGTTGAGATATCTCAAGTTTTGCTCGAGTTATCGTGTACACGGACAGACGGACAGACGGACAGACGGACAGACGGACAGACGGACGGACAGACAGACATGGCTTAATCGATTTCTTTTTTCATCCTGATCATTTATGTATACATTTGTCTATATCTATCTCGATTCGTTTTGGCTGTTACAAACAACCGTTATGTGAACAAAATTAATATACCCTTGTGCACAAGTGCGCTCGGGTATAAAAATAGCCAAAATCAATAAGTTTCCGGCGGCGGCACTTCAGAAATGACGACTGCGCTGGCGCGTTAACATCTATCACATTCATACATATCGTCGTTTAAAGTACAAAACGGCGTATCGTCATTCTGCAAAACCGCGTAACTGACATTGGCTGCTAAAAATTGGACAAACTCTTGGCTTAATCCTTATCCATTCGTCCTGAAATATACTAGCCGGAAATACGATTGCTTTATAAAAAAAGAGAACCATTTTGAAATATGAGTGTTTTTACTCTCTGGAAAATAATTTATGCAACCTCACATACGCGGTTTTGCATTATCTTGATACGCGGTTTTGCATTTTGTTGATACGCGGTTTTGTACTTTAAACGACGATATGTATATGTATACTACGCCAAGGGCATTACTTCGACCTTTGCCAATTGTTGTGTTTTAGAATTGGAAATATTTGTGCGTACCTGAGAGTCCAACGCGAAAAACTCCATTGTTCGCGATTGCCTGTTGGGCGCACTTTGAAATTTCACTAGTCAGTCGCTCGATAACCTGCGATTCATTGGCCACTACTATTTTTGACATAATTATAAAAATTCCAATTTATAATATGCTTGAAAGTATGAATTCTAATGCAGTCTTTAATATTTGTGCACTTATCTGACAATCAGCTGTAACCCTTGTGGTAAGTTAGCGGCAAATGAGCTTTAACCACTTGTTGCGATAAGCATTTCCAATGCGTTATGTATACACAAACATATGTCTGCAGATATGTAATAAGTATGTGTGTACCAGCGTTCGGACTTAACTCCGATAGGAGTAGACTTTCTCCGTTTAATGAAATATTTTGAAAGTTCTGCGCTTGACTTCAAATCTGCTTCGATAGTTTACTTTCACCCCCCGACTATGTTCCTTATTAAAAGAAACGGATCTTCGGTTTTCTTCGATCAAAGCAAGGATAATTCTTAGAAGGTGGTAGCCGATGCAAAAAAAGAAGCACACTAACAAATCATACGCACAGTGGCAGAAAGAATTACAACAAATGTACAACAAATAGATGCCATTTTGACATTAAGATCCTCGGATGCGAAAAATCAGCTGCTCTGGTAACATCATTTTATATAAATACGCTTTACTACGTTTTTTCTAGTCGTTTAGGTTTGAATCTATTTCTAGTAGTCCGATCCCTGTTGTGAACCCATGTGGGATTCATAATGGAAAAGGCAAAAGCTTTCCATCTAAACTTTTAAATACGTAGCTTTAAATTGCATACAAGGTATTTACGCATATATGTATATACATTTTTGTGTTAGAAGCTTTTTGGAATGGAAGTGCTTTACTACAGGTTCCAACAATAAACACGAGTACCACAGTAAATGAAAACAGAATCTGAGGAAATATTCAGAATTGCTTACCTTTTCCCTTCTGGAAAGCTGTCATTGGCCTTAAGCACTTGCAAACCAGAGAAGTTTAAATAGATCCTAGGTTTCGTTTGTCATTTACGTAGAAATGTCATTCACGTAGAAATAAAAAATCAACAGACTTTTACATATGTAATGCTGTGCGTTGGATAACCGCATACACGCAAAGCTCATTTAGCAGATTCCTTATGTGACAACTCTCATGCAATGCCAAGTATGCATAACTGAGCCTTAAGTCAGTGCTATACATGAACTCGCGTTCTACTAGATATGCATTACCGGGAACACCTATAGGAAGTGAAATTGTAATTAGACATTCTATAGCAATGCCTTTTAGAACGCATTAAATAAGTATGTACGATACCATTTAGTTATTTCAAGTTTTTTGCACAATCAAACATACATATGCATATATGTACATAAGGGTGCCCATCTAAAATTTTTTTTTAATGAAATTTCAAGACCCTACCGTCACTGTTGCTGATATCTTGGCATATGTTGCTAAACATGCTGAGATTGATCTCAAATGGCTGGTGTGCTACATGTTGGTGAAAAAATACGCAAATTTTGAAGATCTGAAGAAAGTAAATTTCAAACTAGGCGTATCTGACTGCTGTTTTAATAAGGTTGTGAATGCTGATATCTGGGCGATGAACGTGAAGATTCGTCCGTTCCGTTGTTTTTCAACTGGAACCGTAGGCGCCTCTGATATAGTTGAATCTGATTCTAAGCCTCTAGAGTTCTATTTTCAAAATCTATCTGAACCCAGAACCAAGTCAAAAGCACTTTTTCATCTGATTGCTCAACTTGATTTTGTCATTTTTGCACTAGTTGAATCGTAGTTAAATGCTGAATTCTGCGAAAATGAATTTTTCGACTCGAATCTTTTCACTGTTTACCGAAAGGATCGTGATGCAATGAAAACTGGTTTTTCTAGAGGAGGTGGTGTGCTAATCGCTGTTCACCGTCGCTTTCATTCATTCTCCTGCGCATGGCTAATAAGGATTCACTGCTGGACAAACTATGCGTTCTAGTACATGGTAAATCTAAAATCTTAATTTGCGCGTCATATATCCCACCGAGTAGTGTTGACTCATTATATAAGGGGCATGTTGATAATACATATATCAGCAGTTGTCTCCAACCACCCGGACTGTAACATTTGTATTCAGGCGATTTCAAGCTGGGCAATATTGATTGGTCGTATATGGACAACAGCTTCTCTGAGTCTTACCTGGTAGATAATTTTTTAAGTTTAGACCTAATTCAAATAGTTTTAGAAATCAGCTCTTTAAAATTCTAGATCTAATTTTCGTTAATGATAATTTGCATTTTTCTATAAATGAATGTCTTGATCCATTGTCTGGTTCTGGTATTCATCACGTACCTCTAGTTATTAAATTAAAATTTTATAATTGTAAAAGTTTTGGTGTCGAGAATCAAAGACCTAGTTTTTGCTTTAAACGCTGCAACTTTAACATTGTTAACAATGAAATTCTTTCTCTAGACTGGGATTCAATATTTGCTTATAATGATGTGGTCAAATGTTTTGATATTTTTAAGTTGAAAGCCAATGACATTTTCTGTAAGCATATAGGCATCCTGCATATCAGAAATTCGTCGCAAATGGATGTAGACGGTTTCTCCTCTTATTTTTTTAGTATTGCTCTGCTTTTGCGTATCCGCTCTTATTAATTTTTAATAAATCTCTCGCTTGTGGTGTATTTATAGACGATTGGAAAGTGACTTCCATTACCCCAATATATAAAAGTGGTAATAAGAATAATGTTGCCAATTATAGGCGTATCTCCAAACTCTCTACTGTTTCAAAATTATTTGAATATATCATCAAGGAGAGACTGTATTTTGCAGTAAAGCGTTTAATCTCCTGCGACCAGCACGGTTTTGTGCACATTGCACCAGAACTACTGAAGCGATTTCAAAGAAAGGTGTAGCGTTTTAAAGACAAAATTCCAAGCCTTCCGAAAGATTAATTTTTGTAAGTAACTAATTATTTTGGGGTAAATTTTGAGCCTTTAAAGAGCTCTAGCAACTTATGATTTGATGATATAACTTTTTCGGTATTTAGGTTCTTTGAAGCCTTTGAAATATTATCGTGTGCAAATTTTAAATAAATTTTAAGGCGAAAAGTTGTTGAAAAAATTCGCAAATTTTTTTATTACCGAAATACACGAAAACCGTTCGAATAACTTTGTTTTTATTTTTTCAGTCAAAAATGCTTGTGTTTTCCTTTAGTTTGGTATATGGGAAATATTGTTGGATATCTTCTAAATATATTTATTTTATCCAAATATATGGGCATAAATGATTTTCCATACCAAATCACTTCGTCATCATTTTGCAAACACGTGCATGCGCTGGAAGTGAGAGAAGGAGACAAAAAGTATGTGTGTGTACGTATTTCGGCTTTTGAGTAACAGACGTCGCAATATTTATAACATAATCGCAGCTTTCGTATGTACATTAGGGTGATCCAAAAATGCATGAGAAAAAGTAAAGTTGGAATTTTCATGCTCTCACCCCCTAGGATTGTTCTATACCGAAAAAATATAACCCTTTTTATTTTGAAATCAAAAAATATTTAGAGGTCGGTCAAAGCGCTCAAAGTTTTGCATGTATTTTTATATGGCGAAAAATTAACTTTTCGTATAAACGGTATAAAATTCTTAAAAATCAATATTTTTCCATCGAAAAACCCTGTTTCTCTGCAGGAGATTCTTAATAATAATACCCAATTGCCTGTCTAACAATTTTTCATCGCAACTATAATTTATAGGTCCACCAGAAACCCACAAAAACCCCGAAAAATGCATGGGGGTACCAATTAAAAATCGATTGTAATAAAAAATAGTTAAATAAAAAATTGGGTATTGTTATTGAAAGTCCGCTGAAGAGAACTAGAGCTTTCCGATCGAAAAATATTGATTTTCAAGAATTCTATATCATTTCTATGAAAATTTGTTTTGTTCCCATATAAAAATACCTGGAAAACTTTGAGCGCTTTGAGTGACCTCTAAATATTTTTTGATTTCAAAATAAAAAAATTGGGGTATACTTTTTCGATATAGTACAATCCTAGGGGTGAGGCCATTACAATTCCGACGTTACTGTTTTTGGGCCACCATAATGTACATACATATGTACATACATATACAGGGTGTCCCAGAAGTAACGTGCCAAACTTTAGGGGAAGGTAGGTGGGGGGGGAGCTCCCTGATAAACAAAAAATTTGCAGGTAAAAGTGTACCCGTTTTTGAAATATTTTCATTTTTTCCAATTAAAAAAAAATCGTGCCTTTTCATGTGTTTTCTT